AAAGATATTTCAAGTCTTATGGTGAAATACAGAAATCAAAGCTCAGGAAACAACATACTGAATTTCACACAGTGAAGGAATGATCTGACTGTGGAACACAGTGACTTAAAAATAATTTCAATAATCTGAGGGATCCAAAAGGCTCTACAGAGCCATATTAGGCTGTATTGAAACCTGGCTAAGGTAGAATTATAGGATGCATTTAATGAACAAAGAAATGCAAAAGATATGCTATGGAATTTGAATGTATCCTGACTGGTGTAGACATTTTACTATTAATTAGTAATAAAAGTATTCTATAACAGTATTCCCCTTATCAGAGAAGAACATGCTATTTTCTGTTCTGTGTAGGCATGTCTCAAAGCTAGTCTGCTAAGATGAAAAATGAGATATGTTCATTACCAAATCAAGACACTGGAATTTATTTTTATCATTTATTAATATTTTGTTTTCAGCTTAGAATTATGTATTAGGTTTTCCAGATAGCACTGCAACTCATTTCATATAGAGTAAGAGCTACAAAAAATAGTTGCAAGTTTTGCACCAACATATAAATGAAAGATGTTATTTATTTTAAGCCAATTAGCAACTGAAAAGCAGAACAAAAGTAAATGGCTTTTTAAAATTCACAACCCCCTCAGATTACTGTATTAGTGTCAAAATAATGCATGCTTTATCCACCAATTACATTTCCAAATACTCCAAATACTCTGTATTTGACTTGAAATCATTATATACAGCTGGAGCCTTGCCACTGCTGTGCATGAGCTGAGCTGTCCTTGTAAAGACTTTGCATAGATTCTTCTAGAATGCCAGTTCTTGCCCTAACCTGAGGATTGTCATGAAGTTTCACTTATTTAGATCATATGAGATAGTCGCAATTGCTAACAGGTAATCACGTACCAATAAATGATTTTGAAAAACCAGCTATCTGACCCATAGAAGGTAGTGTAATTCTCATTAAGATTTTTCAACAAGGAAGTACAGTTTGAATTACTGAGAAAGAAGGTACACTCATATTGCACTTTTTACAACCTTGGAATCCAAGTGTTGAAAACCCTGCACACTGAATAACAATCCTTGAAAAGCAGCTAGCTACTGGTTAATATATATTGAATGATCATGTAATGAACAACAGACAACATTGTTGAGAAGTCATGTGACACTTTAATATTAAATATGCTAGAAAAATAAACAATATAAATGCAAAAATTAAGTTTTTAATATGGCATCTTATCTGCAAGTAATTTGCAAAACAATTTTTTTAAGCCAAATTGTTACTGCTTTTTCACATTGAAGAAAAAGTTTTGATTCATTGAATTGTAGATGGAATGCCCATGAAAAGTTTTAAAGATAAAAGATTTGAAAGTTGAGATGAAATAATCTTTCTAAACAAAAGGAGAGATTTTTCCATCCTGTGAGAATTATTATATTGATGCTTACAACTGATTTGAATGCATTTACGTGAGCGTTTCAGTACCTTGTTATTGATACTATTTCTGATTATGTGCGTATTTAACAGATGTGACATTATAATTTTTGCTGAATTTTCAGGGCTTTGCACAGTATTCTGTACTCTTCTATGGTTATTACAATAACCAGAGGACAATTGGATGGCTCAAGTTCAGGATGCCTCTTTCATACTTCCTTGTTGGAGTTGGAACTATCGGCTACAGCTTTATGATTGTAATTCGAACGTAAGTTCTCCTTGTGTACTATTCTCTGGAATAAAGTACATTAAAAAAAGGCAGATGGTTTCACTGTTGACCACAGAGACTACCTTTTTAAAAAATATGATAGATATAAGTGAAAAAAAAAGCAAGATCAAGGGCAAGGTCAAAGTAATGTAAGACAGCTTGAGCCTGTATTTATCTGTTGCTCTAGCCAGAAGTGTTGTGAAAGTGGGAAGAATATTTCTTGAAGTAAAAAAATGTATCTTTCCTGCATCTTCAAAGTGAAAAATAAATGCAAAAACAAGGAACAGAGCTGTCAGTCCATCTTTTCATAATACACTGCATCTAGCGGAATGTCAGCTAACATCCAGGAAATATAAATGTTGAACCTTTAAAAACACCTTATCTGAGTTAAAATCTTTTAAGAAGGGAGAAGACAAAAATAAAGTAACATTTGGCAAATAATTCTGTGTGCAACTCACAGTCAGCAATAAATGATTCTCAGCCAATCTATAGCAGTTAGGTCACATTTGTCAAGTGGTGCAGAAGAATTAATGCTACTTTCCATAATAATGGTTTAATGTCCTGTGGAATGCAAAATAATCTCCAGAAGTGTGAAAACTATGCTTAATATAACTTCAAAACTTAATGTTTAAACAGGAGAAAGCACAGGGCTAAGTGAAATAGGGCTTTGGTAGTACAACTAGTGATATATTAGTCTTTTGGCTCTAAAATTCTGGACCTGAGTTTTGCCTAATGATCAGAATTTAAACAAAATAAAATTATTATTTTATAGTTAAATTCACTATTGGAATAAGTTGTTAGAATTCTGGCAGTTTCTAAGGAGACAGGACATTAATGAATACAACTTTCAATACTCCTGATTCAAGTAATGTGACCACCTCCCACAATAATATTTAGCTATAGTGGTGGCTTTAAAAGATGTTTACGACAAAAAAACAAAACAAAACAAAACAATAACCAGAGTACTGCAGGTCAAGATTCATGGACAGTTGTCAATACAGAGAAAACTGCAGTTAATCTTCTCCCATGTTTTTGTGCTGAAGCTGGTATTTTCATTTACATGACCATTAGATTCTGTTTTCCAAATATTGCATCATTTTCTACATAGAGCAAGAAGCATATCAGAATAAAAAGTTTTCAGTTATTTTGGAGGAGGAATAAATTACTATTATAAAAAAAAACAATTGGCTTAGTTGAAAATGCATTTTAAAATCTTTTTTCATAATGTAGTTTTGAAGATTAGAAGTCTTAGTCTCAGATACTTGTATTTCAATAACTGTCACCCAGACCTAAGAACCCTCATCTTTCTAGCATATAGTCTCTGGCCCAAAGAAAGCAATGTAGTTGTGGCTAAAATACATTGTACTTGCTCACTTCCCATCTGGCCACACGACCGTAATACTCACCAATATATAAGAAATCTTCTGAGCAGTTCTTGCAATCTTTTGCATTTTGCTTTTTCTCTAGAAGGAAATACGCACAGGATTGTTCCTGTTACAGGTACAGGAGGTGCATTTTTCTGCTCTAGACTGAGATCTGGTAAAGAGATTGTCTAAATGAAAGAGGTAGTGAAAACTGTAAGCACTATTATCCTATTTAGGAGAAATATTTATATTTAGGCCTTTTCTCTGTATGTTTTCCACTACAAAACATAAAATGGAAATATTTCTGGTCTCAGAGAAAGGATATCTCATGCACAAGACTCTTTGCTATTTCTTTAGGAAGTCTAATTGAATAATTGTGTTCTAGAAACCAGCAGCAGGGCAGATCCTGACAAGAACCTTTCATGTTCTCTGTCCCTTCTGTATAGAAGAAGTAAAACAAAAAGACTCAACCCTGCTGTTAGTTTATGGCAGCTCAGAAAGATTTTCTGTATTATCTACTTACTATTCTTTTCCTAGATTTGTGAATACAAATTTTAGTGGACTTTTCAAAATGAGGTACTTTGAATGTGTTGCTATTAAAAACGTAACAGCTGTGTTAATGAAATATAAAACAGGTGTTGCCTTTTCCTGACCAAGCAATCAATACAATACTGAAGGCTAAATGGCTTGTACCCTGCTACTCCAACGATGTGCTTAATAGTTTGAATAAAGTGATAAAGTATGCAGAAACAATGCCATTATAATTTACACGGATGACAACTTTTTGAGACAGAGAAACTAGTAGTAAAAATCAAGTCAAATCACCGAATAAATAATTTGGTGTTGGTGGACACTTACAAGTCTCATTTATGAGTGCACAGGAGATGAAAGGGAAGATAGCTGTATTTTAGTTATGCTTCTGAGTGGTATAACCAAGTTTAATTCTGGCTTTTTATTTTAGAGGGTTTTTTCTTTGTTTTCAGGTTGTTGGGGTTTTTGTTTTGTTTTGTTTTTTTGTTTGTTTGTTTTTTATTCTTTGTGAAGTCTCTCATCAATTCCATTGCCGTTCAGGATGCTCTGCAGTTTTCTATTTGAGAAGTCTTCTTGATATTGTTTTCCTATGTAGTTTCTTATCTTGCAGAATTCTTCTGAGATGTTAATGAAACAAATCCATTATTTCTCATAAAAATGTCTTTTGTGATGTCATAAATAGTCTAAATATAAAGATCTCCATCATCCTCTCTTGTTTCAGACTGAACTTTCCAGATTTAGTATAACATGATTGACTGCAACAATAACATTTTTTTCATAACCATGTTTGAATTGAGGACCAATTTAAAAATAATGCTCACACAGCAGAACCTACTTTAAATTTTCTGTGTCCTTCTTGCTTTTGTAGAATGGCAAAGAATGCAAATGATGATGGTGGTGGGGATGATACGAGTTTTAATTTCAGCTGGAAAATGTTCACAAGCTGGGACTACCTGATTGGCAATCCTGAGACAGCAGATAACAAGTTTGCTTCCATCACAACAAGCTTTAAGGTAAAATACAGCTCAGTATGGTGAGGTAACCTGATTTGTCATTCACACTGGTGCGAATCAGGTGGAACTCGAGTCAAGTATTAGCTCTGCCTAAGGCCTAGAATCTTAAACTAAAATTAGGTAGCTCTGTACCCTTCTGAGTCTGTGCGTTGTCACTTGTAATCTGATTTTTTTCCTGTTGAATGTGGAAGGAATAACATTAATGTTGACTTTTATGTTCTCTGTGACTGCAATAATAGCTTTAGAAAAAATATTTGACTGTAAAAATAATATTTTCCTTTTTGTCACCACTGATGGCTCACAGTTTCTATGGTGCTTGTCTGAAAAACATTTTTTTTTTAACACTGGTGATATTTTGCTAACCTTACATTATCATCTTTTCCTGCTATACTGAAAAGATACCATCAAATAAAGGAATAGAATAATCTATAAATGGCTAGCTATCATATCAGAAGAATTAGCTTCAGAATTTTGAGTGTATACTTGCTTTCAGTAGGGGAGGAAGATTACTTTCCTTGTTTAATACAAAGTTTTTATTTTCAAACAATTACAAAATATAGTCCAGTTTGCAAAGCAATACGAGGTGTTCGTAGGTCTCCTTCCAGTTTATACGGTATATTGATCTCAAAAGTAATTTTATGAAGAATCTGGGGCAGGAGGTGAACTGCACTGCCGTGAAAACAGTGAAGGGGATACATTCTATTTGTCAAATGTTAAAGAATGTGTTTATACACTGGGGTCACTGAAACACACCAGTGCAACACATAAAGGAAAATTTAATTTTCAGTATTATAATGTACAGGGAATACCCTGGCAAGTTATTGGCAGATAATAAGCAAGGTGCTAGGCTTGCAGTCACACTGACAACACACAACACAGGAGCTGGAGGACCAAGCACTAACTGCACTATCCCATCACACATGACACCCTTCCTCTCTGCTGTGCTGATATAGCCTATACATCACACCACCCTTCCCGCTCTCCAAACTGCTAGCATAAAAGATAACAGCGCTCCAATTCAGTAAAAAGAAAAGGCCCCAGGAAAGCAAATATTGAAGAAATATTGAACAAAAGCACTGAAAGCTCACTGTGTGAGCCTTCCCTGCCCATGCACTCAGGTCAGTTGCTGAAGGTTATTTGAAGAAGAATACAAATCAGTTGAGACAGAAACTTACTTTTGAGAAATAAACTCATGAAGCTTTTCTGTGATCTTTGCAAATGAGCAAGGAACCTCAAAGAGAACGAGTGAGGTCTTGGCTTGGGCAAGGTCATGGGAGTTTTTCTCAGGAGCTGCTGTAATCTCCTTTCATTTATGTAACAAACACAAATCATAAGAAAAGCAGAATCATGTAGACTAACTATTACAATGCCAGAGTGCAGCTTCCTTTCTGGGCAACTGATGTCTATGCCAAAGTGAGAAGCTGTAACCAAACTCCATTCTCATGAGGACACTTCAGAGCAAAAGCTCTTTCTGGTGGCAAGTGCAGTAGCTGGAGATTATAGTTACAAGAGTCTTTATAGCTATCAGTCCTGGCACAGGGTAAATTTGGGGCAAACACTTTATTTTGCAGGCTGAAGCTGTGCACTGTTTGCCTTTTTTAGGATTCCTATATCTAAATTGTCTCTTAATTCATTCTGGGTTTCTGACTCCTAGAATAAATCTTTTTGCTCTTTTCTCACAAATGCACATCTTTAAAGTGTTACAGTTCTGTGTCTGTAACTAGTTGCACATTTATCCTTCTGAGTCACTCAAACTCTAAGCACCTTGGAAGCTCCTGGAACATGCTGGTTTCTCATTGGTGCACGAATGCAGATCTAACATGACTCAGTGTGGACACACACAATGGAAGCAAAGCAAACTCTGGGGAGCCAAAATCCTGGGCTATCACAGAATTACAGAATCCTAGCGGTTGGAAGGGACCTCAAAAGATATGCTAGAGTCTGAATCACATTTTATTATACAATATAAGCTTATCTCAAAACATGATGCCCAGGTGTGCATTCATATCTTTGTAATTTATTTAACTGGCTTCTAACAACTGAGGGAAAGATGTGGGGTCTTGGCTATTAAAGTATTCATAAAATTATTTTCTTTTTAACAAGTGCAGGAGGCAATTTTGGAGGAGCAGGAGAGCCGAAAAGAGGAAAATATTCACTTGACCCGATTCCTGAGGGTTCTTGCTAACTTCTTAGCCCTATGCACACTTGCTGGGAGTGGCTACCTCATCTTTTTTGTCGTCAGAAGATCTCAGAAATTTGCCCTGGAAGGTCTGGAGAACTACGGGTGGTGGGAAAGAAATGAAGTTCGTGCTTCATATTTCTAAAATAGATGTGGTCTGAAGCTGTGTTCCCCTACTCTGCATGTTGCCTTTTTTTCCTGAGAATTTAAATACTCGAAGTGTGTGTGTGGCAAACACCTAACAAAAGAATTGTTCTTTTCTCTTTGCTTACCTTGTCATTAAAATTATTATCTGTTGGTTGGTTCTTTCAAATGTGCTTTTGTATTTAGTTGTCATTTAAGGCCTTTACCTTTACTACTCTGTGCTGTTAAGACTATTTTCCAGCCACTCTGTGGACTCAGAAGATCTCTTCAATGAGCCTGCTCTCCTGTAGTTTTCCTCCTGGAATTGGCCCAAGCAAAGTGACTGGTGTGTGGCATACCCAAAGATATTTGGAGCTTCATGGATACAACTCTGCAGCATAGCAACAGGTCAAAGCTCGTTCTTTTCAGTTCCTACTGCCCAGTCCACGAGCCCAGTTACATTTTTTTGCGCTTAATCTGCTTTCTTCTAGAGCAGATAAAGCCTTGCCTGATACGCAGTGAAAGTGATTGTGTTTTATTAAAACATGGGCAGGTTTTGTTTCTTAGCAAAAACACCGTTGTGTATGTTGTAAAAGTAGCTGTTTGTTACTTAAAGTTCATCTTCTCCACTGCAATGCAAAGTAGATATCTGTTTTAGGGTAAGACAAAAAGATGCTAGCCACAATGGAATGAAGAAGTAAATCCCTAATTTTCAACACCAAAACCTGACTGAGAAAGTAACATAAAAAACTACAGCATTCCAAGTCTGGAATACATGGAAATGGGGCTGTTAAAACTGGGTGAAGTTCATTGATAGAAGTTAACACATTTAGATATGATGAGAAAGAAAAGCCATCTACAATAACTACTTGGCTTAAAGCAACATGAGCTCAAAGTTTGACAACAGATGAAGACAATTCTGGAGGAATTTGGCATTGTCTCAGTTGAAAGGTGTGGTAACTGATTTGTATTAATAACAACTGTACTACTGAAATCTGCTATATTAGCTCATCCTGCCGTCTGGAAAGTAGTTTAACAAAAGCATGTTTACATTGTTTACTTTTGTTTGCTTTACAAAAAAATACTGCTAATAAGACACAGGACTAAGATCTGGAGCAGATGTATCTCTAAAGGAGAGCAGATAAGGCAACACTGCCATTAGTCAGCTGAAGAATTTTTCCTAATTACACCCAGTGAATGTATTTGTGATTTTCAAAGTATTGCTCATAACTGGATATGAATATATAATTCCATAAATATATTTGGCTTCTCTGTAACAGCCATTTAAAATTTTTCTTATTCTCTAGATCAAGATTTCTTGTTTGTGTCATTAATAAATGAATGGAGATTTTGATCAGGAAAATCCCCTATAAACACTTAATGGACTGCTCAGACCCAATGAAAGTGCAGCTCTTACATACAAATCAAACAATAGTATGTAAAAATTGTCATGATTTATAAAAATATTAAACTACTGATGAAATTTCTTTTCATCACAGTGGATGTATTAAGGAATTAAAAAATGTTTACACATAGTTATGGTGCTCTTGGAGTAATCCAGGGTAAATAGATTTCCTATCATATGTTCCTGAAGCTCCCAGCCTAATAAAGTGCCACTGGTGACTTTGTGGGCAAGACCTTTTTCTCTCTGACTACCTTCCTCTGTCATAATGCTGTAAGTTTGTAAATTCCCTCTCTGTATTGGCGGTACCTACTTCTGTCAGATCACAGTTCAGAGAAAATTGTCTAGTGTGTCACGGGGAGCAAGAAATCAGTGGAAACACGCAAACTGGGACCATTAAGGGATCTCACCAGTCTTTTTTGATGCTACTCATTCATGGCTATGGCTTGGTGAGTGGTCATGGATGAATGATTCTGCACTATGTGACAATTTCCTCACAACTGAGAAAATGTTGGTAAAATAGAGAATAATGCCACTCATTCCCTTGGAATCCTAAAAACTGAATTAAATTTGCTAAACAAAATTGATTTCTCTCATTTGATAGAAGATACTTTGCAGAGCTAGAAAGTAGTATAAGCACATCTCTAGTACAGAGGTACCCTGTTTTCTCAAAAATATTATTGTACTGCTTAAAAATTAGGCTTCTTCAAAGCAGAGAAAACTTCTGGGGAGACAGACTGATTTGTCTGATTTAGAATAATTTTTCTCCCGGACAAAATATAATAATAATAAAAAAGCTTTAACGTTTCAGATCTTGGAAGCCCCATAAAGCTTTAGCCAAAAATATCCTGCTAGTTACTTTAATATTCATAGCGGTGGGTATGAGGTACATTTGTACTTAAGCTATTAAGCTATGTTGTTAATGTTCTATTTAGTTCCAGCAATAATCAGGCAGCTTTATTAGTATGAAATATAATTTATAATGTTATTGTTTTTTTAAATTACACTTCATTTCATAGGAAAATAACTTTATTAATGCTTTATGCAGCAGGTGCTAGTTAAGCCTATGACTATTGCAACCATTTTCAGTAGAAACTATGATTTATTTTAGGTAGTCTACTTACTTTTAATGAACTTAACGTTTAACCAACAAGCACTCAGTGTTCAACATTTAATGTTGTGTTGGCACAGTTCAATATGCTGGGAGGCTGGTGTTTAGTTGTGGTTGCTGTCACAGGATTTCTTACCAGATTCACAGCAGCTGGAAAAGCTTGTGTAAGCAGTAATTTTCTAGCTTTCAGTCTGTCATGCAGAGACTTGGTATTTGGAGTGACTAATGTCACAGAGACATAAAAAAATGTTTTGAACCAGAATCTTGGTTGCTGTTCCTTTCTTATAGACAGTTCTGTCCCACTAGGGCAGAGAGGGCTATCAAGATTAACTTAGCAGATAGTGCATATAAGAACACATTGGCAATCAACCATAACTGTACCAGGCATGTATGCTGGCATTCTGCTCCTCTTTTGGTATATCTTTTCACAAAAAGCAATGACTTCTGTCCTGCTTCTCACATGCAGCAACAAGGAAACTTTAAACAAAGTCAGCAGGTACTACATTTTAAACTGCCTGGAGGACAGAGCTTTTCTTGCAAAATGCATATTCACTGTGTCTTCCAGTATGAGAACAAAGGTACATCTAATGAGTTGAGTAGAAACTAGAATTGGCTATGAACATTAAAATTTGCATCTATCTAAAGGAAGACTGATCTCAGGCAAAGAGAAATCCTCTGGGGGCTACCTGACAGAACAAGTAGCAAAACTGAATAGTTTTTTCTGGATTCTAGGACTTACTGTTTATGTATCTTTGCAATTGATTCCTGCAGCTTTGCCATCTTGGGGCATGTTTAGGTATAAACTCTCTGGTTTAATGGTAACTGAGACAATATGTGTTATAAACAGTTAGACACTTTGAAGACTTTAGGATAAAAAAGTTTACAATTATCGTTTACAATTAAAATGAAAAAAAAGCAAATATTTTGATCACAAATATCTCATCAACTTCTAGGAGTACCAAAAAATAAGAGTACCCACAATTCTCATAACGGATTTTTTTTTTTCAAAGCATTAATGTATGAAAACAAACACAGTGGTTAATATCATAACGTAAAAGGTGGCAGGATATTAAAATATAAATTCTGCCTTTTTCACTTATAAATCCAAGTACTTCAAGAGAGGGTCACTACAAGTTTTTGTTTGTTGGTTTCTTTTTTGGGTGTTACAAGACAATGGTGACTTATTTTAATAAAGTAATACCAGTTACAAATAATGGTATCTAAATATATAGGAAACATCAATGACATCCTGTAATCATTAATAAACAACTTACATACTTCCTAAAGAGTGCCAAAAATTGCACAGAATGCACTACCTGTTGCCTACAAATGCAAAAATCCAGTAATTAATGAGAAATCATTAAAAAAAAAAAAAAATCAAGATTAGTAAAACAGTGAAAATAAAGCTATTTATTTATTTTCATTAAGAACACCAGTCTCATGGATGAAATTATTTAGGAGTGAGAATGTATATATATTTTAAGTGAATGAATCTATTTGTTGGCATAGTGCTTTTCTGCTGCCATGTTATGCCTGAGAAGCAAAAGTAATCCTAAACCTCTGGGTAGCTAGAAGCTGGATATGTATTAAAATTTATAATATTTCTAGAAAAATGTATTCCAGCATGATGGAGGAATGTTAATTTCAGAGAAACTGAAAGAGTAGAGTTCTGTGAACAAGTGAATGAGTACATTATTTTAACTTAATTTTTTTTTTTTTAATTATGATTTATCTCAAATAATAATCTTCCATTTTTTGAAAAAACCTTGTGACTGAGACAATATTTTCTGTTTCTTGTTTATTATTTTTAGTCCCTTAAAGACACACTCTTTTAAATGAAATTTTATTTTAAATTGAAATTGAATAGCTGCACTCTGAATCTTCTTCAATTATTTTCAGTTTTGGCTGATGCGATGAATTATAACCAAAGATTCAAGTAGACTTGAAATCAGCAATCACTTGGGAATGTTAAATTAGTATGATGACTCACTTTTCTGTAGAAGTTATAAGCTATGTTGTACTTCAGACTTTCTGTAAAAGCTAGTTACCTGTTTTCCTCAGATTGCTTCCAGTAAACTTGTTCCACTTCCATACTGCTAAGATTATGAGTTAATCTTATTAGAAATTTCTAAAAAAACACAGGCAGAAGGAAGCTAGGTTCATTTTAATTTTATTCTGTGGTGAAGACCTGAGCTCTGAAGTACAATAGAGAGCTGGGCGATCACTAGTGGTATGACATTTAACAAGAGCAAGTGGCAGATCATTGATCTGAGACAGGGTAATTCTGATTGTTTTTTTAAAAAAAAATGGGGACAGGAGGCTGGAGAGCTGCCCTACAGAAAGAGATCTGGGGGCTTGGAGTGGTGCCAAGTTAAATATGAATCAACTGTGTGTCCTGGCATCCAGAAGGGCAAACCATGTCTTGGGGTGCATCAAGCACAGCGTTGCTGGCTGGTGGATGGTGGTGGCTATCCCACTTAATACTGCACTGGAGCTGCCTAACCTCAAGGGCACCTCAGTATAAGAATGGCATCAAGCTATTAGAGTGTGCCCAGAGGAGGGAGACCAAGATGGTAAAAGACCTTGAGGGCAAGATTTCAGAGGAGCAGCTGAGGTCCATTAACCTGTTCACCTTGGAGAAAAGTGAGGAGTGATCTCATACCCCCATGGAGGGCAGTGGAGCAGGAGGCGCTGACCAACTCCATCTCATGACCAGCAACGGGACATGAGAAAATTAAATGAAGCTTTTTTGGAGGAAGTTCGGAAGACAAGGTTTTTGACTGAGAAGGTGGTCAATCACTGGAACACAGTACCTGGGGAAATTACTATGACACCAAGACTGTCAGAATTCAAGAAGCATCTAGACAATGCTCTTAGTTATATATTTTAGTTTTAGGCAGTCCTGCAAGGAGCAGAGTGTTGAACTGGACCGTCCTTATGGGCCCTTTCCAACTTGATATATTCTATGATTTTGTGACATCTCAGATCTCTGCTACATCTCAGATAAATTTAACTTAGTGTAGTATTTCTACAGGAATGCATCTTTGTGTCCACATTTGGAACATGTGGTATAGATGTTGCATAGAACAGTACTGAAAATAGGTTTTGCTAAGCTCTCTGATAGTAGACTTCAGGTTAAAATGTAGGTTCTAGGCAGAATAACTAACCTCATTATTTTTGAGATTTAAGTGAAATGTAACATGAAAAAAAAAAAGATCTCATATATCCATCTGCAGTAGATTACAACTGACTTTTCTTCCCTTTCCTCCTTTATGAGAGCATTGTCTGACTCCTAGAGTGGATTTTGTTTTTTCATTAAATCAAAACCAAATAAAAAGCTGTAATGGAAATACATCTTCCCCTCAAATATATTTTTTTTTCTTTTCTTTCCCCCCTTCTCAGGTGAACATGGTTATGTCACTTTTAGGAATGTTCTGCCCAACTTTATTTGATGTAATTAGTTCTCTGGAAAACTACCACCCTCGCATAGCTCTAAGATGGCAGCTGGGACGAATCTTTGCTCTTTTTCTTGGCAATCTCTACACTTTCATTATTGCCCTAATGGATGAAATCAATCTCAAGGCAAGCTATTTACTTCCCTTCATTATTTTTAATATGTCGCTGGGGAAGGATGAGGATTTCCAGCCAGTTACAGACATGTCAGTTGAAGACATTATTTTCTTTTGGTACTGGAAATCACATCCATGCCTGAGCTGGTAATGGGAATCTTGGAATATAAAAGGTTGAGAATTGGTAACATTCTCATTCATTGGTAAACAAATTGGTTTGTTTGTTTGTTTTCTAATTTATTTCTTTACTTAGTTGGAAGAAGAAAAGATAGTCAAGTATAACATGACAATATGGGAAGCCAGTCTGTATAATGGTACTATTCCAGAAAATTCAACTGCTCCTCCAATACAGGTGGATCCTGCAGATGTCCCCAGAGGGCCATGCTGGGAAACAATGGTAGGACAGGTAATGTAACTGCTTTGAGCTCTTATTTGAAACTCAGCCTGTTACAGGATGTCATATCTAAATCCTTTTTATTTCTGCTAAGAAGTGATATCAAGTTGGGAAAATGTCAGGAAAAACTGATGTGAGATTTTTTTTCTGAACTAAAAATTTGAGAAAAAATTATCTGGTTTTCCTTGGACTCCACCTAGGAAGTTCTTTCTTCTGGTGTTTGACAACACTGAAAGAATTTCCCCCCTCCTTTTCACTATTCTCTTCATTTACCTTCCTCTTCCTCTTCCCATGTTTTTCTTGCAAAACCTGTTTAGCAATTTTGAAAAGCTGGATTAATCACAGACCCTAATAAATGCAATCAGTTTCTGACTACAACATATCTATAGAAAAGAGGGAAAAAAAGGTAACTCAACAAATAAATACATGAAAGATAGTTCTCATAGCAGTATTCTTTTGAGTAGGCATTTCTGTCTTTAGCCAAGTAACATTCAGTGAAAGAACAATAGTCATTTAACTGTGTATCAGTTGAACATTTATTCTTATTGACCTATTAATATAAAATGTAATTTTGAAAGAATTTTCTAACATCCTCTTTTCTTCTAGTCATACCCCATTGCTGTTTGGTGCATGAGAATGAATTCACCACCAAATCACAGCTTTTGCTATTGCTCTCTCACTCTGACTGTTTCACTATCTGGTTATCTTCACTCCTGACTCAATAAATCAACAGCAGGGAGAGAGAACCCTCCTATAGCCCCCTTATTCCTTTCACTGATGCTGAATAATAAGCTAAAAACATCAAGAGCTCATCACTGCACTAATTTTCTCATTAATTTCAGATCTGGGAGAGTAATAATAGCCTTTTCGCTTGATATACCCAATAGCCTTGGTATTGGGGTAAGGCCTGTTGCAGTAGGGTTTAGTGGGAATTAATAAAGTAAAAGTACAAGAATAGAGGATCATCATTAGGATTTTCTTCTTTCTCCTCCGTATTCACTAAGTGTTGGTGCTCCTTGAGAAATCAATCTTCCCAAAGTCAAAGGGATCCAAAGCAGTTTAAGGTATCAGCTCAGATTTATCTTACAGCAGCAATCTTCACTGTAAGCCTTTCCCAGTTTGATCATACCCTGGAAGTCTTACCTGATAGCATGACCACAAATTAGAGCAAAGGATACCTCTAGCAAACAAGAGGCAGTTTTCTGCTGACATTTTTCAAAATTAGTGAATGCAGAGAAGGACCACAGACTTTTTGATGTTAAAGCAGGATAAGCAAAATTAGGGATCAAGTCCACTATTTCATTATTATTGTAATTATTAATTGCTGAAATATATTCTTAAAATAAAATGTTGCTTTAACAGGAATTTGTGCGGTTGACAGTCTCTGACACGATGACAACATACATCACAATTCTAATTGGTGATTTCTTGAGAGCTGTCTTTGTTAGATTTTTCAATTACTGCTGGTGCTGGGACTTGGAGTATGGATTTGTAAGTATCTTATTTGTTATTTTAAGTCAGATCTTTGTCAGATTATCACTTCAAATTTTTGTAGTAAATTACATTTCCTTTTCAATCCTACAGAATTAACAGCTGGCTAGGCATATCACCTTCAAAATCCCTGAATGGCAATCTGCTCTTTTTTATCAGAATTTGCTTATGCTTTAATATTTCTTCAGACTTATTATTATTATTCAGACTTCAGTAGCTTTAGGAAATGTTTTTGTTTAGTTGGTTGTTGTTTTTTTTTACATTTGATTGTGTAAAAAAACTGGGTGTACATTTCTAATCTGAAGACTCATCCCCTGTTACATGGACTATAATCTCATTGATTCCTATGGGATTCCAGGTGGGGTCTTCTAGCATCCAGAGGCATCCAGTGTATGCAGAGAAAAATATGAGAGAACTTGTTCTAGAAATCCTATTATAGATTTTTTTTTCTAGAATTTGTTTAGCTCAAATAAAGTTAGAAAGTGTCATAACATAAATGGGTGTAGAACTCTTCACTTAGGATCTGAGACTTTCACTCTTTTATAAAAAAATGAACCAGGTTAAATTAATCAGCTAGGATGCTTACAATATAAAGTCTGATGTTTCTTTTTCACTTCTTAAGTAGCAGTGAGGATACTGGCAGCCTGTTCCAGGGCTCTGTCGCCCTCACCATAAAGAAGTTTTTCCTCATATTTAAATGGAACTTCCCATGTTCCAACTTGTGCCCATTGCCCCTCACCCTGTCACTGGGAATTCTAAAAATAATCTGGCTCAATCCTCCTTGCACCCACCCTTTAGATACTTATAGGCATTAATAAGGTCTACCCTCAGTCTTCTCTTCTCCAAGCTAAAGAGACACAGCTCTCCCAGCCTTTCCTCATCAGAGAGATGCTCCAATCCCCCAGTCATCTTTGTTGCCCTCTGCTGGACTCTCACTAGTAGTTCTCCGTCTCTCTTGAACTGGGGAGCCCAGAACTGGATGCATTATTCCAGATGTGGCCTCACCAGGGCAGAGTACAAGGGGAGAATGACCTCCCTCGACCTACTGGCCATACACTTCCTTATGCACTCCAGGATTCCATTTGACTTCTTGGTGGCAAGGGCTCATTGCTGGCTCATGGATAATTTACCAAGACTTTCAGATCCTTTTCCTCAGAATTTCTTTCCAGCAGGTCTACCCTAACCTGTATTGGTGCATGACGTTCTTCCTCCCCAGGTGCAGGACCCTACACTTCCCCTTGTTGAGCCTCCTTAAGTTCCTCACCACCCAGCTCTCCAGCCTGTGCAGGTCATGCTGGATGGCAGCACAGCCCTCTGGAGTGTCACTGTTCCTCACAGTTTGGTGTCATCAGTGAACTTCCTGCTCTGTCCCCTCATCCAGATCATTGATGAGTAAGTTGAATAAGACCAGACTGAGTATTGACCCCTGGGGGACACCACAGGTTACAGACCTCCAGCTTGACCCTGCTTCATTGATCACAATCCTCTGACTTCCGTCACACAGCCAGCTCTCCATCCACCTCCACTCACCTAGCCCACACTTCCTGAGTTTCCTAATGAGGATGTTACAGGAAACAGTGTCAAAAGCCTTGGTGAAGTCAAGGTAGGTAACATCTACTGCTCCTCCTCATCTAGCCAGCCAATTACAATGTCACAGAAGGCAAGCAGATCAGTCAAGCATGATTTACCCTTGGTAAATTAATGTTTACCACTTCCAATAGCATCCTGTGCTTCAGCATGTTTAGAGATGACATCCAGAATGAGTCGCTACATCATCTTCCCAGGGACAGAGGTGAGATTAACAGGCCTGTAGTTACCTGGGTCCTTCTTGCACTCTTTGAAGACTGTAGTGATATTGGCCTTCCTCCAGTTTTCAGGCACCTCTCCTGTTCTCTATAACCATTCAAAGATGATGCAGAGTGGCCCAGCAATAACATATATGTACAAATTTCTTCTTTTACTAAAAGCATTCATTTAGGAAATTATAATTTTTCAGAGGAAGATCAAGTTCTGGTGGCTTCTATTGAAATAATGCTTTTCTGGTACAGCAGTCTCATTGCTATTGGCTGGCTCCTATGAATTTCAGCCTTTACAGCAAGGTTTAGGTTTCTTTCTGCTAATTCTATGGTGTGTCTCAAATAGGCCTGGTATGTGGCTGGAGACAAAGGATACCAACTGGATAGGTTGTGGACAAATAAGCTAAAATACTTGCAATATCAGTATCACATGCAAGAATCTGAACACAGCATGGGCAAAGAACCAGAAAACTTGTAGAACCATGTGTTTTCATGTACTGAAATTGCATCTGCAACTTCCTTTTATTTCCCTCTCCAGCCATTGCAATAGCGGAGGGTGTATGTGGGGAAGACATGGATCTTTGTAACTGGTGTTACACCAGATAGGAAGTAACTCAGATAGAATTTTTTCAAAAGATGTTGAAATGATAGACTGTACTTTATCCATTTCAGAATATCTATGATTAATGGAAGAGCTTGAATGAGTGCAAGCCTGAAAGACATTCTGAAGACTGTAACACGGACTCTTTACCTAGGATGACTGGCCTTCCATTTGGCCTTCCTGAAGCCTCTTCTGTCTTGCTTTGTACTCTTGAATCAGCTGGTTTTTATGCAAGGATTTTTGTTCCATGGCCTCCCCGGGCACAGGTCCCTAGTTCTCTTTGACATGACTTTGGTTATCCAGAATAGCTGGATAGATGTATTTTTTTAAAAAGACTGCAATCTTCTGGTGTTGGGAGCCACAAGGTAAACTGCAGGACAGCTTGGTTTGAACTGGGAGTGCCAGTTGTCAGCTGAAAATGCATGTGCTCATCCATAAACACCTATACTTCATTTTTGTTCATTTTTTTTGTTATATAGAATCACAGAATCTTAGGGGTCGGAAGGGACCTCGAAAGATCCTCTAGTCCAACCCCCCTGCCAGACCAGGATCACCCAGAGCACATCACACAGGAACATGTCCAGGAGGGTTTTGAATGTCTCCAGTGAAGGAGACTCCACAACCTCTCTGGGCAGCCTGTCCCAGCAGTTCATGATCCACCTCACTACCTGATCATCAAGAGCACATTTCCTCAGTTTATCTACGAGGATGCTGTGGGAGACAGTGTAAAATGCTTTACTGAAATCAAGATAAGTCACATCTACCGCCCTACCATCCACCTAGTTAATTCTTCATAGAAGGCTACCATCAGGGATGTCAATGGAATTTAACACAGTAATTCAATCAATAGAACAGGGCCCATAAATGACTTTTAATTAAGGATCTGGACTAAAGAGCACAGAAACTATCTTTCTTTCTAGCCATTCAACCACATGCAGAGTAAAGAACATAAAGAGAGACAATAAGCAGTGAGAGTGAACCTCAAAGCCCACACACAATTGCTTCAACATCATCAAGAGAACTTGTGGTATGTTTATCCAGCAGTGAGGGGAATTCTTATGTCCATGGTATTTATCTTTGTTCTCAAAGTGTTAACAACACATCTACTGACAGGGTATGTTGAAACTAAGTTTTTATTGACATTTTTATTTGACAGTATGTAAGAATGGTTATAATGATCTTTTCCACTACAGTCCTCATGTCCAGTAAGCTGCTTGAAACAATAGCCAAGTGTGTAAGTGTAAACTGGAAATAATTAAATTTCTGGAACTAGCTTAAAATCTTATTTGGAAACTAGCTCTACCTGTGTCTCTGTGGTTAGTAGCCACGTTTTACATTTTATCAATTATTTTTTTTAGGCTTTTTTACACCTTAGGTGTTTTAGACAACAAAAACATCCTTTGGCAAGGGATTCCAGGAATTAACTTGCATGTTTTGTGGAAAAACACTTTCTTTTGTTTGTTTAAAATAAAATGTAAAATTATTTTTTTATTTTATTTGTTAATGTTACCGACTGTGTTATAAAGAGTAGTCACACAGTATTTGGTACCGTATGATGTTGTTTATCTGTCACATATGATCTCTATTCAGCTCTCCTCCTTAGTCAACTGCTTTCCACATTGAATACTACTGATCTATTAAATCTTTCATTGTGTTGAAGAAAACTCATAAATACATGCAACACAAATATAGCAGTTTGTTGTAAACATATGCAAACCACAAAGAAAGTGTGTATGAGCTCTAAATATTCCAGCAGTATAACAGCATAACATAGTACAATTACAAATTGTGACTTTACTTAGTGATCTTACTAGCACAGCTTTGTCTCAGTTCAGCCATAAGGGAATAGTTATTTTTGTATCTCATGCCCTTTCCTCCCTCTGTTAGTCATCTATGTAATTAGTACCTAGAAGGTACACATTTAATTAACTTTTTGTCCACCCACTATGTTGAACCATATGAAAGTCACCAGCTATGGTGTAGCAATGTTATTTTATTAAAAAGCTGATTAAACAAAATTTGACAATGCAAAATCATAAAAATAATATGCTTAAATCAGATATTTAGGTGTAAACCAAAAGTTTACAACCATTTCTTACCAGAAAGTTTATTTCTGGTGTATGTACACCCAAACTCTTATGGATGTGTGTATTTCAATTGTTGCTCAAATGCAATGTATTCAGTGTTTGCAGATGGAAGTGTTCACCAGTTAGAGACTGAGTCAGATGAATAGTTTAGTGCTATAAGACAAAATAATTATTTTATTAAAATATTAATGTGTCTATACTGGAAACAAAGATTTATTATACAGTCCTTGATTAAGCAGACAAAGTGATAATGAAACTCTACGGCTGAATCTTGAATTAAAAATGTAATGGTATAGTTCAAACAGGAATTAAATCATAGCAACCTCATGGCTTGCATTTTATTGGTATTAGATGACCACCACTAGCCACTTGAGTAGAGAACTTATGAATTTTTGTTTTAAAATGTACTCAGTAGCCATAATCATTTTCAATTCTCCTTCCTCTGAGCAAATTACAACATAATTTTCAGCAAAATAGAGCCAGCTGAATTAAAATCTGCATGATTGCCATGATTCACTGATAAGATGCAGCAACAAGCCTTACAACACTATGTCAGTATGCTGCTGCTGTTGGAATAGACAGTTTTAATCTACTGTAAATCATCACAAAATTCTTTGTGCTAACCTAATGAAAGCATCTGTATGATTTCTTTCAGCCATCATATTCTGAGTTCGATATAAGTGGAAACGTGCTGGGATTGATCTTTAACCAGGGCATGATCTGGTAGGTGTGGCGAAGCATGTTGCATTTGCAGAACTGCAGGATTTAGCTGTACCAGAGAAAGATTGTTCTAAAGTGCTGATCCCGTCTCATCACTTTAGTCTGATGGAAGTGTAATGCAATATATATCAAACTGTAGTACACTGAAATAAGTGGGACCACTTCAAAAGTAGTTCTGGGCTAAGAGATGCAACACAGTTTTACAATGAGACGTTAAGATCAACCACTAAAAAGCTGTGCAGATGATTCATCTTTTCTGTTGACTGCCTGCTTGCAAGAGCTAGCACTTGGACTGTGGTGTTTTGCTTTGAATATCACCTTTTCAAAATAGCTTTTCTCACATGTAAGGCCTATGAAAAAAGGCCTTAAAACAAATCCATGTACGATTATCTTTGGAGGCATGTGAATGTATATAAAATTTTACTGCTCCAGTATTAGGCCTAAGCTCTAGAGAACAAGTCTATGTTTCATCCCATTTTTTGGACTTTACATAAGTTGTAAAGAACATCAGACTCATAAAGCTCTCATGCAAGATTCTCAGTCTTCCTAAGGAACTGTCCTCCTCAAGCACTGCTGGTTTGTCAAAGTTAGTTCTTGATAAGGTCTACTTTTTCACCTTTTGTACGACTTTGCTGATCAGATTTTGCTTGTTGAAAGCCCTCACTTCTGTAAAGCCCAAAGCTTCTGTAATGAGAATGTCAAAGAAATGCTGCAGAAGTATGGCAAAGAGAGAGGCTGCAAATATTCTGCAGCCCTAGCAAACAAACCCTGCTGGGGGAATGAACTGAGGGCCCTGACAGCAGCACCACGAGCTAGCTCTGAAAGTGGCTGTCTTGCTGGGGTGACCATGGTACCACCTATGGCCTCTTAGGGACAGCATGCCATATGAGTAGGGCTGGAAGGAGTCCAGCTCTACTGCTGGCATGTGAGGCACCTAGATTGTGACCTGCACTTTAGAAACACAGTTTAGCTTGCAACTGGTATGTTGCTATCTGCCTTCAGATTGGCAACATTTCTCAGTCTCAACATTATGAAGCTGCAGCATAAACTCTGCTTGAAATTTTATACACAATTGATGGCACTTATTCTTTCTACTGCTGGAATATAGTCTGGAGATCATTACTTACTTGAAAGACTTTGAGGGCTGGGTAAGGGGGTTGATTCCCTAATAAAACTTCTTTATACCTATCATTTTTATACTTCATTATATGTACAGATTCTGCTCTTTGAATCTGCCATGCTCCAATATGCACATTCTGGCACAGAAATCATGACTTGTGCTTTTGTGGTGCTATTTAGATACAGCATCCTTCTGCTTACTGCTTTTTGCAGAGTTGGGACCACATTTGCATGCTAATTGATACTTGCAGGACTAAGGAAGGCCTTAGCAGTGTAGCATTTTTCAAAATAATGTCTGATGATTTAACCTAAAGCAGATACATCAGAAGACTAAAAAAAGATTGAGTGAATTATAATAAACATACACTGCCAAAACCTTGTTTACCATTAATACATACACAGGATAAACTGGCTTTGCTTCTATCTGAGCTTTACAAACTCTATTGCACATGCTTGTGCTCATCTGAAATAGAATAAAAATACTGAGATGCAGATGGTGAGCTGCTGCTGTCACAAAGCTAGAAAGGGGACAAGAGCCATGTAGGGGAGAATTTATTTTTGTGTATGAAGGAGACAATGTGTTTAGGAAAACTCTCTTTTCTTTCTCTGTGTTTTCACAAAGCAAGTGGGATGCAAATAATTTTCAAGTCCTGTCTATGAAACAGTTTGTCTACCATAAAACAAATGTTATACTGATATATTATTTTGGCAGCCATAAGTTACCCAGATTTGAAACTTGTTGAAACTGAAGAGTATTTTACAAGTGATTTTTGTGAAGGTAAGGAACAGGGCCGTGAAGTGCTCTCTCCCTTGAACTGTAGACTAGCAAGCCCTCATCTTTTCATTGAGGTTATATGAAAAGCAGCAGGAGAGATATTAATACAAGTCAGTCATAATATTCCTGTACATGGAAGTTGGTTTTTTTTACCATGTAGATCTATTTCCTATTTTGTAAGTAGAAAAACATCAAAGGTACTTCTTGAAATGGTGCTAGTATATTAAGAAAACTAAGCAAGAGTAAACTAGATCAATTTGGTGATACTTACCTCTAGGCCTATCTGTTTCATACAACACAAGTGAGATGCTACTTTAACTAAAGGGGCAAAATAAGCAGATGGTGTTTCACCAGGTGGTAATTTAATTGCAGAGAAAGAGGGCTTTCCAACTTTAAAATAAAAAGTTCCTATGGAGAATTGTCTGAATATAACACCAATTCTTCTTAAAGTAATGCTGAAGAGGCAAGATCACTAAAAAAAAATAAATAGTATGAGCTTGCTTTCTATGTGCACAGTGTGAGGGGCTGCAAAGCACATTGATACAGGGAATGGGTAGCATGTTAAGGAAGGCTGAAGTACTAAACAAATGTAGTTATTTTTTTCTTGTCTACCTTTCTAGGATGGGATCCTTTTATGCTCCATGCCTCCCAGCGATCAATGTGTTCCGTCTCCACACTTCCATGTACCTGCAGTGCTGGGCAGTGATGTGCTGCAATGTCCCCCAAGAGAGGGTCTTCAAGGCTTCCAGATCCAATAACTTCTACATGGCCATGCTGCTTTTCATTCTCTTTCTCTCCACACTGCCTGCTGTATATACCATTGTCTCCATCCCACCATCTTTTGACTGTGGTCCTTTCAGGTTATTTTTTTGCATTTTACATCCATCTTTTGTTATTGATGTAATGAACTGCCTCATCACATCACAGTGAATGATGCAGTATTGAAAAAAAAAGCTTCTATAGTAAGTGTTGGCACCTTTTAGACTGAGTGTTTAATTGTTACGTTTATCACTGGGGATAATTCCTGAAGCTGGAATCAAACTGAGTAATTCTTTAAGAAAGTTTTAGCTGAAGTGTAGAAAAGAAAATCTTCTTTTTCAGTTAGTTGTTATATAAAAAAAAAAGTAATTACTGCAGTAATTAACCCAGAAACCTACAGATACTTTGTTCTTCATGAAAATATGGGAACTTCAATGTAACTTTTAATGAAGGAAGGTTTGAAACTAATGAATATTTGTTCAACGTGGGTATAGGTAATGCTACTATTGAGCAGTCAGTGGAAAAATACTGATAGTGTATGGCTCTATGTTAAAAAAAGAGAACATTTTCCTTAACAAACCAAGCAGGAAAGGACTTTTGGAACATCTACTGCAATGCTTCTGTAAGAAAAACAATGTCAGTGGTCTAAAGAAAAAAAAATCCTAGATGAGCTGGCCATAGGACAGCTATGCATGAAAATTATTACATCACTGTAAAACTATTAAAAAAACCTCCTAACACACAGATACTAACTTTTATAGCACTGGTACACAGCAAAGAGAAAAGACAATTAGGCAGAACAGAAATGAATTGCAAGCAGACCATTTTTTTCTCATTGACCATAAAAAGATGAGATTTGAATTTTTTGCCAGCACTTCATAGAGCACAAGTTGCACTTCACTCTTTGGTTAGTGGTATAGAGTTCAGAAGTTGGTACATTGATTCTGTGAGAAATAACCTTGGTGGTAACTGCAGGCAAAATCTGTAACACAATGAAAATACTTGTATTTAAATACACATACATATCTATTCAATATATAAATAAAATAATGTTATGCATAAATATAATATAAATAAGAATATATCTTATTTTATATAATTACATATAATTTTACATATAATTATTACGTAATTATATATAACGTACAATAAAATAACACAAATATAATACATAAATAATATATTTACATATATTTATATTTGTATTGAATATATTTAAATATATATTTATTTGTAAGTGTATAAGTATATATTTTAAATAACATTACTTTCAGAGAATCAAGTGTTAAATATTGTTAGCATACACTTTATTGTCCTTTTCTCAGGTTCGGTGGTGTGTGACTAACTTACATGTTTTTACTACTAAACTGACATTACCATAGTATTTGCATGTCATACATTGTCAGCCTTTCTATTTAACAGTGGGAAGACTAGAATGTTTGAAGTAATATCAGAAACTCTGGAGCATGATTTCCCGTCCTGGTTTGGGAAGGTATTTGGCTATGCCTCTAACCCTGGACTTGTCCTACCTTTTATATTGCTGATGGTGTAAGTATAGGCTATTAACTCAAAGTGTGTCTAATCTAAGGTATATTAAGTTTCTTTCATTCTGAACCTTCACTGCCTGAATATTGAATTAAACACAGTACTGATCACCCTGTGTTGATGAACTTGAATAATTAATTAGCTTTTTATTTTATCCTAATTAAAGTGCCTTTGCACAAAGGGTATTAATATTTCTTTTTTTGTTCAGTGTCTTGTTGTTGCTGTTTTTGTTGCTTGTAAAAAATGTCATTTCTGCAATAGTAGCAAAGCTATTAAGATGCAAAAGCCTGTAAGGCATTTGAACTGCTGTGACTTTTATCAGCTTGTCCAGGAGGCAGAACAGCACATTATAAATCCTCAGCAAGTTCAACAGAAACTTGGCCAACGTGAAGCTGTTATTTCTCAGTAACCTGCCGTGCATCTGATCTTCAGTGCCTTCGCCTTTCCTTTGCAAACAATGTACTCTATGCTAACGGGGCAGAAGTGTGAGACAGGGTGTTGGAGACTTCATGAAACAGGGCTAATTGAAATTCTTTTAAAGTCAGTTCCTGGTAATGAGCCCCAGAATAATGTTTCTCAGAAACTGTGTTGAATCCTGCTCTGTAAAGACATTTTAAACTGCTGTGTTGGATTCCTAAGCATACTGCTGAACTAGAAGTTAATTCTTTGTAGATATCAGCTTGGATTTAACACTGCCAATAAATATAGAGAAGAATACAGAATACAATAGAAATTGAAGAAGGTTTTTACGTGAGCAGATGAAATTCTGAGATGAAATCTTGCCAAGATTCCTTAACATCTTATTCTATTTTCACCTTTGACTAGAAAAAACAAAGAATCCAGACTTTCCTCTGAACTATGTGGTCAGCTGCTACTGATTTATTTTTTTTTCAGCACCATTCCTTTCTTGGAATGGTCCAAGGCAAAGACACTACAAATTAAGAAAGAAAAAATAGGGGGAAAATACAAGGCTTAATGAGGAAAAACAGAGATAACAGCATATGTAGATGAGTTATTTACTGTTTGCATCAATTGAAGTCTTAATATCATTATTTCTCTAATTAAATCAGGATGGTGAGAAATACCGATTTCACAGAGTTACCAAAAAATTGATACAATACACTGAAAAAAGAAAATTACATTACGCAGTTATGTTTTTGTTTAGTAGAATAAGGAGATCTTTCTTTAAAATAAAAATGAAAAGCTATTGTTTTGGCTGTTTTCATGGCACTGCTTGAGTTTGTCTATTGCATTAGTTCAAAAGCTCTTGTAAGCACAACTTTCTCGTTTTTAAGGTGCGTCATACCAGTTAATTAAGTTGTATAAGTTATTCTTTAGAGCATGCTTCATAGTGAAGCATAACTTTTTCTAACATCTTCCTTAAATACTGTAAGATTGAATATAGAGTATTAATAGACAACATAATTTATCTTAGCTTTTTTTTTCCCCCTTGAAATAACAGAACCTTCTTCCTTCCATAGTACAAAGAAGCACATTTTTAATTGTAAAATACTATTACTTATTAGGCATAATAAATGAAGAAAAGGTGCAGATTTTGTATTAGTACAACAGTAGTTCTTGTTATAGGAATGTTCTAAGGGTTTAAATTTTTACCTAACAAGAAATATTATTTTTATTTAAATATAGCCTGAGTATTTATTATCTCAATGCTACATCCAAATCCTACAAGGAAGCTAACCTGGAACTGAAGAAGAAGCTACAAAGTGTAAGGAACAGAGAATTACTGATTTTTGGTTTTACAAAATATTGGAGAAGCTGTTCAGCTGACTGAAAGATGCCCTCTTTCTCTCCCCATCATTAGCAAGCAGAAGAAAATAAAAGAAGAAATAAACAAAGGGCACAGAAGTCAAATGAACAAGAGGAAAATCCATTTGAGACAGAAGCATCGCAGCCAAAGGATAAAGGAGCCAAGCAAGATGAATCCACACCAAACCAAAGTAAGGACTGTTTTGATCTCCTCAGGATAAGGAATTAATCTATGCCTGACCATAGTCTTCCTCATTGTCTTGTGTGCTTCTCTTGCCATAATCTTCTGAAAGATATTTACAACACTGAATTACAAGTAATCTCTAGACTATATTTCTTTCTTTGGCTTATTTAATAAATACTGTAACATGATTTGTCACCAGGTGACACTGAAGTGAAAAAAACCTATAATAGATCCATAACGAATTGCAAGATCTCAGCCCTGCAAAAAAAACCCCAAACACTTAAACCCTGGTTGCAATGTTAGTGATCCATCCCTCTTACCTATCACAAACCAGCCAGGTCCAAAGCTTGCACCCTCCTATCTTATTTTTTTGATCCAGGACTGCTCAGGACAGCACTTGCTCTCTGTGTCAGGTTCACCAGGAGAAGGTATAGTGGGACCACAGCAAGGTAGAAATCGTTGTCAAAAAGCCTAGTGTGGTCAGGCAGGTTTCAATCTGTCTTGTAGGATTTTGCAGGCTGTTTCTTTTCCCCTGGACACAGCTTGAGTTTGCCCATCATCCATGCAAACAGCCAGTACAGATTCAAGGCTATTAGAGAAAGTGATATTAGAGATATCTGTCTTTGGAAAAAACCTGTACAAGACATATCTGCAACCTCAAAACCTGCCTGCTTAACTTTGAAATTTCCACCTGCATTATCATTTATAGATGATATCTAGTTCCATCTAGCTATCTGGGAAGAAGACCTAATTTTCCTCCACTGGGGCCTTGCAGAAAGGATTGGAGGGAAAACAGGGTGCAAAAATCTTAAAATTACCTCAGATTTCAGGATGTTGGCAAGGGAGGGTCCAGACTTTACACCACGCTCTGGAGCTGACAGGTGGTTGCAGGATTTCACTGTCAGGGAATGTCTGGTTTATATGTTCATTTTTTAATTCTGTTCTCCAAACACATTTCAGACAACACGAAAGGACAGAATGGTAAGGAAGAAAAGAAGACAGGCCAGCCACAAGAAACCAGCTCCTCTCAGGCACTTCAGCATCCAGGTCCTGCCCTGAATGGCCACTATCCCCCACAAGGCAGAGGAGGAAACCTTCCTCCCCCCTCCATAGCTGTGACGAGGCCACCAGGGCCCAGGGGTTATGGAGGACCGGGCTACACACCCGGAAATCCACGCTTCCCGGGGCCACAACCAGGAGTTCCCAGGGGCCCTCCCAACTACAGATAAGGTGCCTCAGGCACATTGTGATCTGATGAAGGTTGCCGGTGGACAGAAGAGTGGTCCTAACCCCACATACACTCTTGCAAGTGCAGAACCCTGTTGTGTGCATTGTAAATCCTCAAGTGCATAGAAGTTACCCACATGCTTTAGTTTTTGCAGGGTGGGAGGCTTAGGAAAAAAACCCACTGCATATGTCTTACTGCATTTGGAAGCATTGCAAAAATGAGTTACCTGTGTCAATAGGTTACTAAACTTAGGGATACTTATTGGAAGATAATTATTAGAAGAATGAAAAACATTTTGCGCTCAGTTGATTATTTTCTTAGAAGCTTGAAAATGTGTCCGTAACATCTTTTCCTGTTTTCTTAGAAGCACAGTAAACTGCAAACACAGCTTTGTATAAATGTTGTGAGGGTCAGTTCTATTTATACACTGTATATTGCTCGTTTTCTGCAGATCAGATATGCTTCCCCAAAAATTTCAGGTTGTACATGGAGAAATTAAGATCTTTTCAAAAGCTGGATGTTTCCTTCTAAAGTATTTGTGAAAGTACTACAAAGGTAAAAGAAAAGTAATATTCTGCCTATTTCTATGAAGAAAATTTAACTTGTTGTGGAAGCCGCATACCTGGAGCTGTTCAAGACCAGGTTGGATGGGGTTCTGAGCAACCTGATCTGATGGAAGCTGTCCCTGCCCATGCAGGAGAGTGGGAACTAGATGATCTTCAATGTGCCTTCCAACTCAAACCATTCAATGATTCTATGATTATAGCACTGTTTTCAGCAAATAATGGTTTTATGATGTTCTGAAAGATTAAAATTAAATTAAAAACAAAGAAAAAAAAAAAGTGAAGAAATGTCTCCTGTGCAGAAAAACATATTTGACAAACAGAGGTAAGACAATTATGCAATAATTTCCTCCATATATTCACCAGGATTGTTATGCTACAGAAATACTTATTATTGCATAAGAATATGTTGCTGTATAATCTGCTCTGTGGGTTTATGATTGTATACTCGTATTGCCCTCTTTACAGTCCATGGTAGAACAGGCTTTTAGTCTGACAGGTCTGTGGAAATCCAGGATACATGCAAGACCATGAGCGAGCTCATGGTGATTATTCCATTGAGACAGCTTTATTTTTATGTTCTGATTCTATTTCCTAGTCCAGAATTTGGGCTTTGGTAATTATTTTAAGGGTCACAAGATTAATTACCACAAAATTAGTCAACTGACTGTCTTCTAAAAAATAAATGCAGTTCCATTGGGGGCCTTCAGTATCATACAAGTCCATTTTGTACAGTAGCAAAACAGTAACTCTATCTCAGTATTTCAAAAGTCTGTGATATCACAAAACAACTTCCATATAATGAAACTGCGGAACATATTAAAAAGCCTTACAAAACCCCTAGCATATTATCCCCGTAAAACATTATTACCCAGATTCAATTTCCAGCTCAAGCAGACTTTAAATCCATTGACAGAACCTGGGAGGATAAACCAAGGGAAAGTTCACTTTATACTTTATGCTTGTTCACTTTATGCTTGACTCTTGTATTGCCTCCGTAAGTGTCTGCTATGACCTTGAGATAACATATTACATCAATCAGACCTTTGGTGAGGACCAGCATGGCTGTTTTGTGTGTAAACACCGAGCACTGACAACAAAATAAAGAAATAAATGTATTATAATAACTACAAGGGAAGGTCTTTTCTAGCAAACAGACTGGAAATGCGTTGTTACTTAGGAAAAGGACAAATGGGTTATGACTGGATCCCAAGACATGTCTGCTTCTGGAGTGCAGCAAGTTTGTTATTTAAGTTAGAGGAATTACAGCTAAGTGCAATGTGAGCAATTTCATATTCCTCAGATAAGATTTCTGATTTATGGACTTCAGACACGTGGAAAAAGTACAGCAATTCCAACTGTCTTAATTTGAAATTTTCTAACATGATTAATTCTTAAACTACATATCTTATTAGCCCAGGAACTTAGAAGGTTGTCAGTAGTCTTATTGAAGCTAGTCGTGGGCTCCAGGGTTTTAGGGCTTCCTTGCTTTTAAGACAAACTTCTTCCTACAAGCTGATATTGGTCTGTTATCAGATACTGATTTGTATGGAGGTTTTAGTTCACTGTTTATTAACATTTCAGAATAAGAAAATGCTGACTATTTCTTAGAAAAAAGTATTATTTTTTTTTAATATAAAACATTAAGAAACTCATTTTAAGATGCCTTATGGCTTGGGGATACATGTAAGTTTTTCAAAGTGTGTTGGAATAAATTTGAACTGTAAACTGATTTTGATGCTGTCTCATTCCTGGAAATCTAGAAATAGGTTTATGCTACATTCTTTGAGAGATGAGAATTTTCTGTGGATTTGAGAAGCTTTCTTATTACCAGCAGGCTTAGTATATCATTCTGTGGAATTGTTTTACATCATGAACGAGAGAGACAAGCAAGGAATCCACCACCTGAAATTATTATGAGGAATTTCTCTTAGATCTATAGGCTGTATTGATTTTCAACAATGAATGGGTTCTCAGAATGCAGCTGTATATGGAGAGATGAGCATGTAATAGGCAACATGAATAACAATAACAAGACTAGATATACCTGTGATCAGCATCAGGCTGACCAAAAATGAAATATTTGTTCTTATTCTTTGGTACTTCTAAGTAAAGGTCTTTCATCACTCTGTTTCATAAAGCCGTGCTTTCATTGCTTCCTGGCTTAGTTCTTCTGTTTAATTGCCTTACATCTTATTCATACGTAACACCCATCTGTTCCTGTGTAATCTACTGTAGTGATCCTGCTCTAGCAGGGGGATTGGACTAGATGATCTTTAGACTTCAGAGTTCTTCCAGCTCCTGCCATTCTGTGGCTCTGTGATTCTGTGAACAAGGAAATATTTTAGTACCCTACTTGTTTAAAAAAAAAACCACAACAAAACACAAAATGCTCGCTGGTCAATTAGTTGAAGTTTTTATCTGTCTGAATCCCTTGTGTCATTTTTCAGTCCTCTGTGGAAAACCAGTAAACAACCACTAAACAACACCCCCCCCCCCCCCCCCAAAAAAAAAAAAAAAAAAAAAAAAAAAAAAAAAAAAAAAAAAAAAAAAAAAAAAAATTGACAAAAGCAATATTCCTCTACATCCCATAGAAAAGATTGTGATAACCCAAGGACAATTCATGCACAGTGTTTATAAGAAAACTATGAAAATTAGTATTTTCCTAAGTTAGGAATGACCTGTGGGTTGGGACTGAAGGTTCTGCATAGCCAACTCTACTTTACCTGCTGTTTACACTTTATAAAGACTGGACTACTAAATGTCTGTGTCTGAGCTGCATAACTAATGTTACCTACTCAGTTACATGCATACCCAGTGATAGCTGTGTTTCAAGTTGTTAAAGTCAGGTTTATAATGAAATGCATACTTTTCTGTGAGCTTTCTCTTTTCTTGTTCTATTTCAGATCACCTACTGCCTCTAATGCATTCCTGAGGCTTCTTATCACCTGATAATTGGGAAGCAGCATTTGCCATCGAGGTCTGTGGTTACATTACGGCAGGGGGACCTAGCTAAAGCATAATTTGGAGATATAAAACACATAGGCACTCAGTGCATAACCTGTAAATGTGAGGAAAATGCTGATGTTCTCATTGCCATGGTGCGGGGAGGCTGTGGTAGTCCACAGAGTCACTGCTACACTCCTTTGGTGAATTAGCTACCACAGGGAGGAACATTCACTTTTTATTTCTCTGCCTGGTGAGTGGAAATAAAGCATTTCCAGGTTGTTTTATCTAAAGAAATTGCAGAGTGGAAGGATGAAATTCCATGTCAGTCCAACTGTGGGTCAGCCTGCTGGCTTCTTCCTGAGAGGCATAGTTCTGAGGGGTTTGCAAGCTGCACAGGACACTCAGAGCTTCCTCTGACAGATAAGGGGTGCTGCCCTGCAGCACTGAGGTGGGAGACTCGTCTCCTTTGGCCACAGCTGTGTGCAAACTAGCTCTGTCTCACATGACTGATTCAAGCAGTGATGCTAAAACTGTGTATAAGGGAAAGGAGATCAGTTCAGAGTAACTAGGACACATGGTAATGGTTTGTGAGATTGAAATGCCATCATGGCTGCTACCCAGTTACTGAAATATTTCCTTGGGGGAAACTGGACTGTGTGAAACTGCAGGTCTTTGGCTGCTGCAGTCACTGCTTTGGAAGGGAGGAAGGGGTCTGAACGAGGAGTGCCACATCTTGTGCCCAGCCAGTTGTTCTTTCTTTGTCTCAGCAAAGGAAAAAGTCAGAGCCTTGCCCCACCAGTTTTCTGTCCCCTTTTGGTTTAGCTTCTTTCACTCAGTACAACGAGCAAGAAGCTGTGTCTCCATGGCCATACTCCATCACATGCAGCCACCAAATCCCATGCCACCAAATCCTATGTACAGCTCCTATATACATTCAGTACATGACAGGAGGCCTTTTTCCCTAAAGAGCAAAGTTATCCAGAGGATTCACATGTGTCTACGTTAACAAAAGGCACAAGACCAAGATATTTTTATGGCTGTAAATTTTTGTCTTATTGTCTAAATACTGTGGGAGGTATAACAGATCCTGCTGATAGCTTCCAAATAGAAATGTTGCTACGGTTAAGGTCCATATGTACTACTAGCATCATCTTTGGGTATAAATATTCTCAGTATATATTTGCTTGTATCTACATGATTAGAAGATTTTAGCTTAAACAGCTGAAAAATGTTTCATGTTAATAATAATTAAGTGTAGGAAGAAAAAACAGCTCCCTATATGTCTGGAAGAGAACATTCATTCTGCGTGAACATACTGACCAGCACTACAGGGGTCTGATTAGTTTATCCTGCTTAGCAAGAAAATCTAAGGAAAGGAGCTTGTATTCTGCGTCACAACCTTGTTTCTTTCAGGTGTAACATCTCAGCTGCAGTTAACAGTTATAGAAAGCTGTGAACCACATCTGCTGAAGTGTCAGCAAAATAATAA